ATCTAAGAGTCTTTCAATGGAGTTTAGGGGGTCTTCTATGTAGAGTATCATGTCATCTGCAAACAATTATAATTTAACTTCTTCTTTTCCTATCTTTACCCCTTTTATTTCTCTCTCTTGCCTAATTGCTCTGGTTAGTATTTCCAGTACTATATTAAATAGGAGTGGTGATAAAGGACATCCTTGTTTTGTGCCTGATTTTAAAGTAAAGGCTTTCAATTTTTGGCCATTTAGTATGATGCTGGCTGTTGGTTTGCCATAAATGGCCTTTATTATATTGAGGTAAAGACCATCTATTCCAATTTTCAGTAAAGTTCTTATCATGAATAAATGTTGGACCTTATCGAAGGCTTTTTCTGCATCTATAGAAATGATCATGTAATTCTTACTCTTGGCTTTATTGACATGGTGGATTACATTTATTGATTTACGTGTGTTGAACCATCCTTGCATTCCTGGGATGAATCCCACCTCGTCATGGTGTATAATCTTTTTTTTTTTTTTTTTGTCTTTTTCATTTTTATTGGTACCAGGGATCAAACACACGACCGCCTGCTTGCAAGGCAGGTACTTATGCCGCTGAGCTAAATCCCCAGCCCCATGGTGTATAATCTTCTTGATGATTTGCTGCATCCTATTTGCCAATATTTTATTGAGGATTTTTGCATCTGTGTTCATTAGGGAGATCGGTCTATAGTTCTCTTTTTTAGTTGGGTCTTTCTAGGTTTTGGTACTAGAGTAATATTTGCTTCCAGGAATCACTTAGGAAGGATTGCTTCTCTTTCAATTTCATTGAATAGTTTGAGGAATGTCGGCATTAGGTCTTCTTTGTATTTCTTGTAGAATTCTGCAATGAATCCATCTGGGCCTGGGCTCTTCTTTGTAGGTAAGGACTTAATTACATTTTCAATTTCATTAACAGAGATTGGGTTATTCAACAGTTTTACATCCTCTTGATCTAGCTTTGGTACTTCATATGTTTCTAAGAACCTGTCTATTTCTTCTGTGTTATCAAACATTTAAGAGTAGAGGTTTTCAAAATAGGTGTTGATGTTCTTCTGTATTTCTATCCTCTTGACATCCTTTATGTTGTCTCCTTTTTTATTAATCCCTATCATTCTTATGTTATTTTTCTTTGCATCGTCTTGCAGTTGTTGAATTGTTGTTTCCTGATTCGTTATTTTTAAAAGATCTTTCCTTTCCTGTTCACTAGCTGCAGTCCTGTCTTCAAGGTCTGAAATTCTATCTTCACTTTCATTAAGGCAGTTTTTACAACTTTCAGTGGAGTTTTTATTTCCTGTATATCTCTGTGCATCTGCATTATGTATTCTGTTTGTTTCTTATATTGCTCGTCTAGGGATTCTATCTTTTTGTTTAGTTCCTCCAATTTTTTATCTTTATTCTTTAGATATATTCAGAATCTCTTTCATTTCTTTTATCATTTCTTCTTTTACCTGGGAGATTATTTCGAGTCTGAATTTCTTTAAAGCTTCCTGGAGTTGCTTGTTAATTTCAGTAGCTTTTGTGTCCAATATTTGAGGTGAATGGCATATATTTTCTTCTATATACATTGCTCCTAGGGTTTCTTGAGATGAGCTGGAGGTTTGAGGTTGTAATTTGGTCTTTTGTTTTATCATTTTCCTATATTTCTGTGTCTCAAGTGTTATTTGAAAGCTTCCTCAGTGTCTGTTGGAAATCCCCTTCTATGTTTGCAGCTCCTGAGACTCTGGCACGCCATTACCCCAAGCCACTGGGCCTGCAGAACCAATGGCCCTCCGCTGCCTGTTCAGAACTCTGCAGTTCCAGATAAGCTGGGCCTCAGGGACACTGTGCGCCCACCTGCCTGTTGGAAGCTCCACAGCTCTCCAAGTGCAGCCGGGATGCGGAGACAGATATAGATGCCTCAAACCCACCTCTCCACTTCACTGCACCCAGAAGCCTTTAGGGACCCGAACAGTCTGGCCTTTGGGCAGAGTGCACTGAGACTCACCACAGGCTGCAGGGTCTCTGGAACCTGCGATGCTCCACTGCCCACTGAGACATCCAAAGTCCTCCAGACAAATGGGGAGGCTGATGCAGCACCCCAGATCCGCCCAGCCCCTCCTCTACACACCGATGGTGAGGTGCGGGAGTCCCAAACAGGCTGGGCTCCGGGGATAGCGTGCGCTCACCCACCCGTTGGAAGCTCAGCAGTTCTCCAAGTGCAGCCGGGATGCGGAGGCGGATGTAGAGGCCTCAAACCCACTTCTCCACTTCACTGCACCCAGAAGTCTGGAGGGTCCCCAAACAGTCTGGTCTTTGGGCAGAGTGCGCTGAGCACTCACCACAGGCCACAGTGCCTCTGGAACCTGCGATCCTCCCCTGCTTGCTGAGATATCCACAGTCCTCCAGACACACAGGGAGGCTGATGCAGGCGCCCCAGATCCGCCCAGCCCCTCCTCTGCACACCGATGGTGAGGTGCAGGAGTCCCAAACAGGCTGGGCTCTGGGGATAGCGTGCACCCGCCTACTTGTTGGAAGCTCCACAGTTCTCCAAGTGCAGCCGGGATGGGGAAGCAGATGTAGAGGCCTCAAACCCACTTCTCCACTTCACTGCACCCGAAAGCCTCGGGTCAAGTTTTGGCCTGTGGTGCGGTATATTGTGCGTGTGTGTGTAAAACAAGTCTGATAGCTCTGCTTGGTCTGAGATATTTACACACAGGAAGGAAAAGAATGATTATGGACATGAAACCATTAGGTCCATTACAAAGCTGATGTCAATATAGGACCCAAACTGTAAGAAATTTTGGAGACAAGTGCATGTGAAGGAAAATCGAGAGAGAACAGAAGGCTGAAAAAAACTTGGAGAAAGGTGAATACAAATAATTCCTGAGCCTGTTCATGACCACAAGCTCTACTTTTTCTCATTCCTAGGCCTTTATATATGCAGTGCCTTTTTGTCTAGTCTGCTTCTCCATTCACTCCTTCCCCTAGCTCCCTGAAGATCCAGCTCAGAGGCTTTCCTCTCTTGTGAAACCCCAGCACCTCCCCTCTTAAAAAGCGCCCATCCTCAATAGTCAGGACCACACGTCATGGTACTTTTCTGCTCTCTACCCCTGGACCAATCTTCCACATTCTATAGTTAAGTGACCCCTGCATTTCAGGCTGCTTGACTGAGGTCTAGTGCTAACAGAATGGTAGGCTGGAGAAAGCAGAATCTAGAATGCACAAGAGAACTCTCCCCAGAGAGGAACAAGAACAGAGCTGTAGATGGGGCTTTCCTTCTGAACTTCCTTCCCACAACAGCTCTGGAGAAGAGACTCAGGAAAAGAAGTGTTTGTGTTGAGATTCAGCACTCTTTTCCTTTTTTGGAGAGTGCCTTGCTAAATTACCCAGGCTGGACTCAAGCTTGCAGTACTCCTGCCTCTGCCTCCCATAGTTCTGGGATCACAGGCATGTGTCACCACACCTATCTTCTGTGTGTTTCTATCCCTAGTTTATCCTACATTTTCCTTATCCCACACTGAGTGGATCAGGTATTGTTAATCCCTCTTTATAAAGTAGGAAACTCAGAACTTTGGAAATCAGAACAAATCCCCTATTCAAGGATCACAGAGGTAAAGCTAGATAGCAAATATTGGCCCCTTAAGTCTGCAGTCTACCTATACATGCAAGTGGTACTCAAGAATCTGTCTGACCTGTCTGACAAAGTCATTTTCTCTTCCCACATTAAGATCAAATTCTGACCTCAAGTATAGACAGGTACGATTCCTAAAACATCATTACATTTTGGAGGACCATGGGAGAGGAAAGAAAGACAGGAAGCAAGTATTTTAGGGCAAGAACTGCATAGTTGGTCAGTGCTTAATACCAAAGCATTGGGTAACCAGTATAACCAGCTGTTGTACAAAACACTGTTCCTATACCCTGCAGTCCTAATTCATTCTGGATGGTGGGTGTTTTCTGCCTTCTACCTTCCTTCTTAGCCAGAGACACGTAATTCAACAAGTATCTGCAAGGCAGTATCTATAAGGAATGTCTAGCAGGTGAGTCACACCATCCTCACTATCTTGAGGGTAGGGGTACGACATAGAAGAGGTGGGAAGAGATGTTAAAAGCCATCCTGGGTTCAGACCCAGCACTGCTGGGGACGTTCATGAAGTTTTATTTCTTTTTTTTTTTTTTTTTTTGCTCTGGAAAACAGTCATATTCACCTGGAATTTATTTGTCAAGCCCCCTATTAGGGGCTAAGGACACCCTGATAGAAATAGTGGTCATTACTCCTTCTTGGAAATGTATACTATTCTTGAAACCACTGACCTATGGCCTGGCATATGCAAACTAGATTGTGACTAGTCAAATATCCCAGAAAAACAGTCTTTCTACAGCCCTATTTCTGGAACTTTCACTAAGTCTGGACAAATCCAGGGAGTAAGGAATTCAGAGGCTACGCCCTAGCTCATCTGAGTAATGTCCAAGAAATTGGCCCGCTGTGAGAATCTGTCCCATACAAGACAGCTCCAAAAGGGGCTGCAGCTTGGCCTTGGTTCAGGGGTCAAGCAACTAGCCAATAAAACATCTGTGTACCTCGCAGACTTGGAAAACCTGCCAGCGGCACCTCCTGACCTTACGCTCCCACCAGAGTCCAAAAGACCTCCCACACTGTGCCTAATAGGGTTAGGAAGCAAAGAGAGAAGTTGAGGCCCGAGTCTCAGCCCATCTACTTCTCAGGTTCGTCAGTCTACCAACTTGCCATTTTTCTTTTTCTTTTTTGGGGTGGGAGGTGGGGGTAGGGGCGGGAGTGGTTTGAGAGGGTCTCACTCTGTAATTCAGGCTGACCTTAAAGTTGCTAAGTAGCCCAGACTGGTCTTGAATGTATGGTACTACTGCCTCATCCTTCTAGTGCTGCGATTTACAGATGTGTGCCACCATGCCCAGCTTCTTGGCCATTCCTTGGAGCTCTAGGGCAAGTTCCAAAGGTCTGTGATGCTTACAAAGAAGAGGCCCACACATCCCAAGAATAGCCAAAACCAGTTCACCCATTTATTTGACTGAGAACATTAAGAAGGACAACAAAATTAAACAATCATCAATAAAATTCTTACAGAAAACTCAGTAAGTGGGCAAGTACTTGGTAGTCTTTCCCATGTCATTGAGGATTGAGAGCTCCCAATATTCTTTGGAGAATAAGCAGTAGTTTTGCTGGACGTTGCTAGTACTCAGAGCATCCATTTACACATTCAAACCAGTAGTTCCTATTGCACATATTAACATTTGCCACCTAGCACCCTAAATATATGGTACCTCAACAAATAAATTAAAGATTTCCATGTGGCATGAAACCATTTCAGTTTGAACTAATATCCTTGAAAACTCACATTATTATAAGTTTTAATAAATACAGTAAGAACAGCTGGCATTTTACTAAAATACTGAATTTTAAATCGGAGTTTATTCCATAAATAGTTTTCTTTTTATCTGTTTGCTTTCTGGGATACATTTGCTCAAGTATTATGCTCTATGAAGTGAACTCATTCATAGATATCATATAAAAACTGTATTAATATGTGCCTCATTACAGAGGCAGATGGAAGAGCTGGATCTCACAGTTAATGAACTTAAAAGTAACTTAGGAAAAAGCTCTGCTTTTCATAAAACTTTAAAACACAGGATAGAGAATACCAAAGAAATATCTTTTTAATATAGAACTTCCACTAGAAATTTTATAAATATATATATTTGCCTCACCAGTAGATTTTCAGCAAGTCTGGATGGAATGATGCTATCATGGTAAATAAATATTAACAAAAGAATTAATGAGTTTCCACAGGTTTAAAAGATTTCTTTTGAAAAATAATCATAAGTTGAAATAATAATCATAATTTGTAGTTTACACAATTTAAAAAGGTAAGGAAGATACCTCTCTTGGAAGCTTCGTTTTGGGAGTAAGATTGCCCCCAGCCCCCAATTGTAGTTAAGTTCTTGGCTGAGTGGTAACACTTAGTCACAACACTGAAAAGAAGTATTTACAACTTTCAGGCAAAGTACCAAACATTTATAAAAGAGTAAGCTATCAGACAATCCCTAGTAGCATTCCTTGGAGTGCAAAGTCAGCAGGAAATGATTATCCATAACGTTGACAGGAGTCCTGGTGGGTCTTGGAAGCATTCAAAAGAGGAGTGCTCATCAGGGATTGCTCATGTTAGGTTCTGTGGGATGCCTTGTTTTTAATTTAACTGATTCCAGGATTTCATTCCCTTTATAACATCTCTGGCAGGGTCACATTCAGTTTAGTGCAAATGCAAAATGAAAATGAAACGAAACTAAAAGATACATTAGGAGCGAAGGCCGATGTTAGGATCTGTAGTCTCTCCGGACCGTGTGGGCCATCCAGTTCACTTTAGTAGTCCAACTTTCCCTGAGGGCCTCATCAAATTTTTGCTTAAATTGTTTGAGTGCTTCTTCATCAGTCTTTCCTAAAGCAAGAGAGTCCTAAAAATGAAAAGGAAAAAATGGTTTTTTATATCCTGAGTAGAGATGTACAAACATCAAAATCTTCAAGAGGCTGGCTTAGCCATCCATCCACAACCACTACTCGACAGAGTACCACAGATTCTTACTTATGTATGATTTATAGGATGGCAAATGAACAGGAAGGTAGTATTTTGACCTCATCGAAGTTTCTGAAGATGAAATTAATTCATAACTATTGAAGGCACTCAGCTGTCCATTAATACTCAGACAGGTAAAAGGGAGCTTGCTGAAAGGCAAGGTGGCGACCCGTTATACTCCCCAGTCCTCCGGGGAGGTGGGCAGGGGAAGGCAGCTGTTACCCAATATGAGTCTTTTCTATGCCCCTTCTACCCCTTCTGGGGAGGCCATATGCATTATAAGCATTGTGCTTTTCACTTCTCTTTCCCTCTCCTTTCCTCCCTCCCACGTTCTTCTTCTCTTTCCTTTCCTCCTTGCCTCCTTTCTTTTGGTAGTAAAGGAGATTGAACCCAAAACCTCTGCATTACATACAACCTCATCCCTTTTTTAAAATGCTGAGACGTTCTTGCTAAGTCCCTGGAGTTGCCCAGGTAGGCTTGAACTTGAGATCCTCCTGCCTCAGCTCTCAGAGTGCTGGGATTACAGCTATGCACCACCACATTCAGCCAAGCTCTTCTTTCAAAACTGCTCCTTCATATGAATTTTTCAGATTCTGTTCCTAGGTAAAAACTATCCATGAGAAAATTCCTGTTTCACTGCCTTCAGGCTTTTGAATGAAACTGGCAGTTCTAACTGAGCTCCACGCCCACAGTCCATGAAAGGAAAGGGGTTGTACCTTAAGATACTGTATATCCTTGACTGATGTGAGTTCAGGAAGCCCTGCAGTCAGCATCAGTGCAAAGAGAGTAATGAAGAGATTCCCGTGCCGCCGTAAAATCAGGTATGCCTCTTCACAACACTGGCGGAAACTTCGTTGATGTGACCACATGAGCACAGTTTTTAAGGGAAGACAACATGTTTCATAAAGGAAAGTAAGACATATTTAGACTTTCTGTTCAAAACAAAACATTGCTACTGAACTAAAAGTTCATTTCTGATTTTTGCTCTTGTGAAAACTGTCCCAAGAAACAAATTTATGTAAGTTAATTAGGTTCTCAAAACTCATACATACATCTTTTTCACAAAAAAACTAAAATTCTGTGATACAGGCAATATAACGATCTAGGTCTTTTATTTTCCATGAGATAAAACAACTGATAATTGCACAAGTAATAATTATAATTCACAAAGATCTCTAAACACACTGCTGGATTTGCAGTCCGCTCCCAGTGTCCATCATGCTTTGGTACTGCTCTCCCTATTGCCTCTCGTTCATTCTCCCTCTTAAGGGTAACTCAAGAAGACCACCCCGTCCTATGTTCTTTATCTTGCCAATGAGCAAAAAACAGGACCCAGAGATATATTCTGCAGAAACCTACAAATGCCAATAAACAATCCTTTGTTAAGCACATAGTATGTTTTTCCTCCATGGTATATATCTCTACTTATCACAATAATCCTGAAATGTAATATTCTTGACTGTGAAATAAAGAAATAAAGACAAGTAGTATGTTTTGAAATTTCTAAGTAGGGAGGAATAGATTACAAAGTCTGAACCCAGGATCCCTTAATGTTCTCCATATAGAAGGACAGCAAAATACCTGTTCTGTCAACACCTTACTGTCAAATGTCTTAATGGTTTCAGAGCATTTTCTGAATCAGAAGAAACATGGTGTTCTGTGAGAATGAAATACAGTAACTTTATTCAAATTCCTAGCATTCTTTGTTTCTTGAGCATTTCTCAACTGGCACAAGAATGAAACAAGCAAACTGCCCTCAAAGCTTCATGTTATCAGAGTGTATTACTTCATGGATCCAAACAAACTGTTCGGAAATACTAGTACAGCTGGTCAGATGAAAAAATGTTAGATGGGGTTAGCTTTGACTTAAGGGTAATACTCACCGACCAAATTTCTCTGTGTTTCCCGTTTTTCCTTGTTGAATGACATGAATGAAATCATAAGTAAGAATAAAAGGCACTCGTTCTCTTTTAATGCCAAATTTAGATTTGAAATTTCCAAGAATATGTCCAAAGTCAATATGGAAGAGCTGGAAAGCAAACGGGAATTAATTTTCCTTATTTTTCTGGTGGTTCCAAATAGAAAGACAATGTCTCTGCAATCTCAGACTTCCATGTACTACACCCACTCCCGTCTGAGTCCTCCTATTCATAGCCCTCTTGGCCACTTGGGAAGTGTTTCTAATACTTAGGTCTTTTACACGCAAATGAGACAGGCACATTCTCCTCAAAGCTTTGTTTTATCAGGGTGCGTTATTACACACTGCATGTACCCAATGGGAAAGGAGAAATACGCCCTGCCCTTTGCTGGGAGTTGAACACAGGTCCTTTACACAGAGCTTTATTCCGATTCATTCATTCATAAACAGTGTCTTACTAAATTGCTGAGTTACACAGGCTGGACTGAACTTACAACCCTCCTGTCTTAGTCTCCCACAGTACTGTAATTACTTGGTAGTAGAACCTTTATAAAGAAAACTACATCCAAATAATATAAATATCTGATTTTCAAAAGTCAAGCAATTATATAAAACATAACAGCACAACAACAAGAAGAGAACATATTTGCCTTATGAGCTCTGTTACTTGAGTGTTACTGCTTAGAGGTAACTGACTTTTTTTGTATATATTATTTTATATATATATGTTTATACTGACTTTTACTTAACTTTATTATCACTATGGAGATTCAGCACTTTTGTGTTAATGATTCCACATTCTTCATATAACACATTATTATAACTTATCATTAATTCAGTATTCAGTGTTGATATTGTTCAGATTATGTAAATACATTTCGAGTTTAAGCCATGTGGTAGTAGTATACTTAAAACTCAATTTCATTTTGGTTTGACTCATTTTTTTCCTATACAGCTGCTTCTTTGGTTTCAGTTAGTGACCCTATCATTTATTCTCCCCAAACTCTCCTTAGGACCCAAAAATCATTCTCAAAATTATTTTCCATGTGGTATGGTAAGGTTGTTGCACAGCCATCACCCTGAGCGTTCTCTTCACTCTTTGCTCACTTGAAGCATGTTTCCTAAGTCTCATACCCACGTTCTCTTTGTACATGAGGGTTTCTTAACACTGGCAGCACTGACCTGTTAGGGTGTGTAATTCTTTGTTACGGGATTCTGTCAGACATCCCTGCCCTCTAATCACTAGATGTCAGCATTGCTCTACCCTACTTGTCAGTTATGACAGTTAAAAATATTCTGCACACTGACAAACATCCTCTCAAGGACTTTTGTTTTTCTGGATGTCCTTACTCCAACAGCCTCCTGAGAAAACAGGCAGAGCAGCAAGCCAGCCACAGGGACACAAATCTACAATCCCAGACACCTGGAGGGTGAGTAAGGTAAGAGGATTTATTAGAGTTTCAACCTGCCATGGACAAGTGAGTAGTCACTGTCTTAAAAGGGAAAAAGAAAGAAAGATGTTGCACATTTTAAAATGTCTATTTCACCTTTGTATTTGACTGACAGTAAAATTCTAGATTAAAAAATCATTTCCCTTCAAAATTATGGAGTCTAACTTCCACTGTCTTAATTCTAAAGTAGCTCTTGAGAAGCTAAGTCACTCTGAGTCCTACAGTCAGGCATGTGGACTGCTATGACTCTGGAAAGGATTTAAATCTTCTCTTTATGTTGATGCACTAGAATATCTGAGGGCTTTGTAAAGGTCTTTTTCATCCACTACAAGCAAACATTTGTGCTCTTTTGATTGGATGTTCATAAACATCAGCGCTAGTAAATGTTTTAATTATTTACTTAGCACGCTTCTTCTTCTCTGTTTTTGTTATTTGTTTCTAAGATCTTATTAGATCTAATAATGTACCCCCCTACTATCTACAATTTCTGTATGTACATATACACATATGAGAGAGAGAGAGGTAGAAACAGAGAGTCTGAGAGAGACAGTGGTTTGAGTCAAACTGCCAAGATGTAAATCCTAGAATGCCATTCTCTGTTGCCTCAATTTCTTACCCATAAAATTGGCATACTAATACTACTTTGCTGTTAAGATTATCATGAGGATCCAAGGCACTGACATATGTAATGCACTTAAAACTGTGCCTGCCACAGGACATTTATAATACTTTCACTTTGACTCCTACTTTTCAACTGAAAAAAACAGAATCCATCACTATTTCATAGGTGTAATACCTTCTTTCTCAATTCTGTTACAATCATCCTCGGTTTACTGCAGCTACTTTATTTTCCCTGGGTACTTTTTCTCCTTTTGAAGAGAGAAATCTCTATCTTTCATGGTGGAAGTTTCTCTCAAATGTCTGTTAATCTAGTGAGCCGGAGAGTAGCTCAATGGTAGAGCACACTGCGGGCATATGCGAGGCCCTGGGATCACTTCCTAACACAGAAAGATAGAGGGGTAAGTCTGTTGGTCTGGTAGGAACAGATAGAATGGTGGTTACTAGGGATTGAGGTGGGGAGATGTTGGTGCAAGGATACAAAATTTCATTTTCCAGGAATAAGTACTAGACAGCTATTATACCACATGGTGGTTATAGATAATCACAATGTATTCTAATCATGGAAATGTCTAAGAAAGTAAATGTAATTACCACAAACGTAAGTATATAACATATATAATAATCATTAGTCATTCTATAAAATTTATGTATTTAAAACAACATGTGCATGATTTTAAAAATCTCTAGTTGTCAATCAAAAAAATCTGCAAATCTTTTACTGACCATTCATATTTAAGAATTAGTCACTAAAAAGCTAAATGACAATTGTGGGTACATGGTATGCTTGTTTGTTGATCAGTGAGTTTCCTGACAAGTGTCTGGGGAGAGACCTCAGCTGTCAGGTGTTCCCTATGGGACCAATCAGATTCTCTCATGCCTCCTCTGACAGCGGGATATATATTTGGTTGCCACTGTTCTTGGAGCTAACCAAGTGGAAGCGGCTGCAAACTGTACCACTTACTATGCCAACTTCTACTTCATCCTCATTTGTAATATGATGCCTTTTCCTTAGCCTCTGTAGAACCTAGTGTCCTTGAGTCAGAAAAATCAGCTTCTCCAGAGAAAAATCTACATAATATATAAACTGCCAACCAAACCCATTGTAACTTCCTCTCTTATCTGTGCCCTTGAGCAGTACTTGGTGCCTCTGATGCCACAGCTTTTCTGAGACTGACAAAGCTCTCAACAACTACTCAGGTTTCCATTTTCTTAGCTCTGCTAAGTTACTGCCACTTCTCCTTTCTTCAGTCATTTTTCGAACCTGTTGATGCATTCCATCCCCTGCAGCCTCTTTTCCTATCACCTTTGACCTTTTTTTTTTTTTTTTTTTTTGGTACCAGGGATCGAACTCATGACCTGGCACTTGCCTGGCAGGCTCTTGTACTGCTGAGCTAAACCCCTGGCCCACCTTTGACTTTTTGGATTTAAGGTTTTCCTTCTCATTATTACTTTAAAGGAAATAAGGGGAAAATGAAGATAAACTAAAACACCTACTCTGATTAACCAGAATCAGAGAAAATCTTTAAATATGTACACAAGGTCCAACCTTCCTGGTGCAAGGTGAACTATCTAGGACTTCCAGGAGTATAAAGTTCTGTGTTACACTGAAGCCAGGGTTCAAAAAGTCGCTCAGAAATATCCATTTTGGTATGCTTCTAGTGAGAAGAATTCTAAGGGTAGCTAAACTGAAAAATTATGCCTGATATCAAAGTTTTAAAGCAAGCCACATCACTCAGAAATTCACCTGAAAAGTATTTCTCACGCTCAGCAGCCTGACTGAGCTTCTTGAGTTAATTCAAAATACTTTTCTCCTTACTTCCATGTATGATTGAATTTGTTGTTCTAAAAGAGCAAATAACCTAAGCATGATTCATCTCAAGTTTTTTAGTACTGTTTATACACTTTAAAGTTAATGTGTCTTGCAGGGAGCAGTGGCTCATGCCTGTAACCCCAGCACCCAAGAAGCTAAATCAAGAGGATTGCCACAATTTTGAGGTCAGCCTGGGCATATATTGAGATTCTATCTTAAAAAATAAATCAAAACAAAAAACCCCAAAAAGTCATTAACTCTACCACATCGCCTGCTCTTTCCATTAGGTAAACATATAACCCAAATTCAATTTTTATATTGAAAGAATAGGATACTTTTAAATAATCACAACAGGGTTGGGGATATAGCTCAATGGCATAGTGCCTATCTGGCAAGCATGAGGTCCTGAATTCGATTCCCCAAAAATAATCACAATAATCTTTTCAAACATTTAAGGAAATGCTATTTTTAATGTGAACAAGGAATGTGTAAAGCATACAGCATGTGAAATAAGAATAAGGGCCTATGGGAAATTGAGGGAAAGACAAAGGCATGGTTTAACATCCTGAAGTCCTTATTGGACTCTATGGTATCCTCACCTGGCCAGTTTTTTTGACCATTATGTTGTCACTGTGTCTGTCACCAATCCCAAGGACATAAGAAGCTACACAGTAGCCAGCACAGGATAGGGTAAACTCTTCAATGGCTCGGTCCAGGTCATCCCTAAAACACAAGGAAAAACAAAACCAACAGTGGTATTCAGCCCTTAAAAGTGTGAGTTAAACCACACTTGTATCCTTAATTGTGAGAACTTATAACACCAAGCAGCTAAAACTGTACTAACAGAACACACTAAAACGGCCCAAGGGAAGGGAAGTCAGGCTATTTTCTAAGACATCACATAAATGAGCCCAAGCCATTCAAATCTCTGTGTCTTACACATCACGTTTCAGTGGGAATGGGTTCAGGTTCATTTGCACAACAGTTAAGAGGCAACCATGTGCTTCGCTGGATATTCCTGTTACAGTGCTGTGAAATTCATTTATTTCCTATATATTAAAGCTTGTCCAGCACCTTAATCACAATAATACAGTCCTAAGAACTGTAATTTTTAGGGGCTGGGGATTTAGCTCAGCGGCATAAGCGCCTGCCTTGCAAGCAGGCAGTCGTGAGTTCGATCCCTGGTACCGATAAAAAAGAAAAAGACCAAAAAAAAAAAAGAACTGTAATTTTTAGGATGAAGACATTGCAATCTAAAAACTCATTTATTTCTATTATAAAATTGATCTATTAAAATTTAAAATTTAAATTCATATTTCCACGTAATTACAGAAGTTGATGCACTTAAAACTTTTAATCACTATCTTTAAAACACTTAAATTCTTACACTGTACTGTAATTTTACTGCAGGGCCTCTAAAATTTGCTCTATAGTAAAATTCAATGTTAACTATAAGTAAGATTTTAGGAAGGCCTGTGTATCACTATGTTTAACCTGAAATGAAGCAATAAATAAAGTTAGGATTTATGACACTGATGATTTGCTTGTTTGTACAAAACAAGATAATTAAAAGGATAAACTAACCCAGAATTGCACTCTTTAAGCCAGTTCAGAAGGGCATCTTTGTTGAAGGCCGCTGCAGCAGCCACGTTGCTACTGTTCAGCTGAATGTCAGCAATTGTTTCAGAGGTGCTCACAACTTCTATGAGGCCAGAGCGATCTCCTGTTGCTAAGCAGCCGTAAGGCAGCATCCTGAAGGGAAAAAATGGGCATAACAAGTCATATTTTCCTTAAAAGAAATGTAAAGCTTTCCTTTTCATTTTTAAAATAAGTTTATTAGTGATACACTTGCCATTACTTATTCCTGCACTATTACCATACCTTCTGTGAGGGAGTAAAATTCTTACCAACAGATGGAAATGGCTTACCAAATTTCCAATACTCCAACTAATGCTATCATGTTATAGAGTAATTCTGGTGAAACATTCTATTTGCTTGGGTAGGTATATGGACGCATGCTGGTTAATAAAAAAGCCCTTCAGTTTTATTCACATTGAGAAGGAGGCATCCCTTATGAAACATGTGACGGGTACCAGGCTGAACACTCTATACATTACCTTTGTTAAGGACAACTTCATCCTTCAAGTGGTTCAAGCCCTGCAACCTTAAAGTCATCTTTAACTCGGCTCTCTTATGCCCGACATTTATTTATTTGCCCTGAAAATGTAGCCAGAGCCTAAGTATTTCTTCATTCCTCTTTCCTTGGCTAACGCTTAGTTCAAGTCATCATTAATCTTTACTTACATAATTCAACAGTTTTTTTAACTGGTCTATTTCATAGTCTATTCCTAACATAACAAGCAAAATTTCTGCAATAGCTTCCCAACTGTGAGTAAAGTCAGCATGCTTGTGGGGGCTCACAGGGTCTTCTGCAGTCTGGTTCCCCTTCACCTTCTCTACTTCTCTCACTTCTAATTTTAATCCTCCTTGCTGTTGCCCAAATGTATCAGACAATACTTCATTGCTCACATATATGTACTATTTTCTCTCTCTCAAATGTTCTTTCCAAGACACGTACATGGGTTATCCCCCTTCCTCTTTGAATTCTTTGCTGAAAGGTCAATATCTCAGGGAACACCGTGGATCCTACTTAAAATGGCAATATTATTCCCAATGCAATATTCCTTGCTTTACTTTTCTATATCTACCTCAATACAATCTGGCATCTTCTAAATTTTGCATTTTTTTTCTGTTTCCACTATTAAGATGCAAGTTTATCAGGCATGTTTTATTTACTGTTAAAACTTAAGTGCCTGAAAATGTGCCTGGGACAACAAAGGTACTCAATAATAAATGGTTTTCAATCAATAAACAGTATAGTAACAAAATTCCTGTAAGGTAAGTTCCCGATTTTACAAATGAGAAATGTGCATAGCTTGCCCAAAGTGACACAATCAACTAAGGAAGATCCAAAATTTAAAACTGGTCTGTGTGTCTATAACACACATGTACACCCCCCCCCAAGCTTAAACTCAAGACCTTTGTACTGAGCTACATTGCCAGTCCTTTTTTTTTTTTTAAAAAAAAAACAAACAGGGTACTAGGCCATGCTTAAACTTTTGATCTTCTGCCTCAGTCTCCCAGAGTGCTGGTATTACAGGTGTGCGCCACCACACTCAGCTAAAACTATCTTTTGAACTTCACACAGTCTCCAGAGTCACCATGTAATATGAACTGCATATGAAAAACAAAGTGGGTACAACTGATACGGTGAAGAACTGCTGCATGTTTCACAGTGACGGAACAGAGTCAAACCGGAGCACAGACATGACGTCAGCAGGCCTACATGCCAATTTCTTTTTCCTAGATTGAAACTTACCTTCTCACAGAGGATTATAAACTACTTAGAGCCACAAACTTTAAGTGAAAAGATGTGACTAAATGCAGACAGGCTGACAGTCTGTCAGAGAATAAGACTGTTTTTATTGACAGCCATTTAAGAGGGCTACCAACATAATACTGCAAAAGATATCTTAAGACTATCAATTTAAATAGTTTGATATTTACTGTTTTTAATAAATATAATGCTAAGCTGAGCGGAGGCATTTTGTTTTGTTTAGCATTTATTTGATTCTTAGTAAAGATAAAATTGTTTTTCAGATCTCTTTTGGCCATTTTAAGAAGCATTTCTTTGGTTAATTAGCTATTTGCACTTATTTAGGATTTTCAACATTTCCTTTTAGTCATTTATATGAACTCTTTTATGTACTAAAACTTTTTCTCACTTTGGTTGTAAATATTTTCTCCAATTTTCTAAAAACTATTGTAAGTAAAGAAACTGGAAAAACAGAATGAAATACCTTAGAAGATTCAATAAAAGTCGGTAACTACAGAAAATACAATGTACAGGATTTATGGGTTTAAAAAATAGCTGGGTACAACTATGTGCTAAACAATTTTGCAAGACTGAAAAAGAAATCAGCAGTCCCTAATCTCACTGAGCTTCAGAGCGCAAATGTACAATTTGAATGTACATGTATCTGAGAACAAAGTGGAAGGAGAACACATCCGGGATCAAGAAAGACCTCTAAGAGTAGGAAGGACAAGAGGGCTGGAGGGAGCACAAAAGCAAGGTGAAGAGGAAGAGCTGGACACCATGCAGAGCTCTGCGGGCCATGGAAAGACATCTGCCATCCTGCCAACACTCAGAAAGCATCTGGACTTTATGAAAGATGAGAGAGAGCAAAGGAAAGAGGAGACTGAGGGAAGGCGGCAGGAGGGAGTGTGTGAGTGTCAGTGCGTGTAACAATGACATCAAAGACAGCTTAATTAGATTCTAAAGCTCCTTCCAATGAAGCATTCGATTACAGTTCTACCAAAATAAAGCTGAAAGAAAAATCATCAAATTACATCTTGGCAGACTGGTACACCAATGGATTGATTATACCTGCACTAATTTATTTCTCCTTTAAGAAATTTATCTCTTAAAAGAAGGAGAACTTTGAAGCATGAATATTTTTTACTGACACTCCTTATCTTTATCATGACACAACACATGTAAAGCAAGCACTGTGAGGTTAAAGTGCACTTTCTCACTTTCCTGCATCTCTTCCACCCCACTTACAACCAGAATAGACACAAATCCAACAACTTCCTCTTCAAAAGCAGGCAGCGATGTAAGAATTCAGTGCCTTGAGAATGGAACATTCACAATGGGAAGGAAAAAACATCCTTGTCAGAGAGAATCTGACAGAAGTCAAACTGGGGACAAACGTCCGATCATCTTGCCTGTGCTCCTCGGCCACAGCCGACACTGCTACGAAGACCACGACAACACTCCGCACCTTCCTTTCTCACACACTCGGATCCAGTGTTACCTTTCACACATGGACTTTGTAACACAGGGTGGCAGCCCAATGTTTACTCTAAATGGTATGTGTCTTCTCTGATTCTGACTCAGGCATTAACCCAAAGCAGCACTTCATCCCATTACCTCCCAAGAAGAAAAGGGTAAAATCCTTTCCCTCATTCTTGCATGATTTTCACATTCTTCCTGTACCACTCAAGAACTGATGATATCAATGAATACTTCATATTAACTTCTGCATAAATCTCTTACAAGGGAATTAAAATTCACTATTACAACTCAAATGTAAAACTAAATGGAGACAGCTTTCAAAAACTTGGTTTCACATATATTCATGAGGCAGGGGATGAAGATGCAGAGGATTGTCAAACTACCAAAGGCCAGACAGACCTACATCAAGATGACTCATTTAGACTTGACAGAAAAGCCTAACTGGAGGACTATTTGTTTACCAAGGGTCAGCTTCTCAGCCTAAAATCAAAGGTGGTCAAGACTTCTTAACATATTGATGGCTTATAACTGATCTCATGTGACAGGAACGCTGAGCATGGTGGCACCTGCCTGTAATCCCAGTATTTGGGAGGCTGAGGCAGGAGGATTGCTGTTTCAGGCCAACCTTAGCTACATAATGAGTTCAGGCCAACCTAAAGTACATAGTGAGATCCTATCTTAAAAAAAAAAATAAATAAAATGATGTGACATGAATAATACAAGAGTATTCTGAAACATCAGAGAAAAATTAAAATGTGTAATAAAATTTTCACTTATGCAAAAATGTCAGTGTTACAAGAATAGCACTAAAATAGTGATATAGGGAAGGTACTCAAAGATTGAACTTAAAATAGGGTGTGCTACATGACCCAGTTTAACCTGAACAGCTGGCCAAAAGAAAAACAAACACAATAGAACACTAAAGCACATATATTTATAGAAACAATAAAAATGGTTTGCTGAGAAAGACATGGGTTTGAAAATGAACTTGAAAAGAATTAAAAGCACTTTATATTTTTTTTTAGACTAGGGGTCACAGGACAAAAAGTCAGCAAGGATCCCAAAGGACATACAAGTTCTTTTCTGTTGTTGTTAGACGCACAATGTTTCCCATTAGACAACCAGAGGATTTATTTCTAATTCTCTCTTCTGGGCCTTCAAAGAAGAAAGTATAAACTATGTGGCTACTTCTCTTCATCTGAGGTCACAAGAATTTCATTAGATACTAAATGCACTTTGCATTTGGCGAAATGGTAAAATCAAATTTGAGAAAAGAACTTGGCTAAGGTTTTTATTTAGGCTGATGAGCTAAGTCTAGGGCGTCTTAAACTCAGCTTTCACAACTCAGTAAAACTCTTCATATCAATGGAATCATATATGGGGCGGGGGAAGTTATTGAGGCTAAGCTTGAAGTTACTCTCCTTTTTTCTGTGAGCTCAATCAGACTATTTTACTAGCTGTTTCCATTATGAGAAATCAACAAAATTTTGCTATGAACTGACCATATAGGAAGTATTTTAGGCACCACAAACTTAATTCTGCTATTGTGGCATGAAAGCAGCCACTGAGAATAAGGTAAACAACTGGCTATGTGCCAATAAAATTTAAATTATTTACCAAAAAACATAACTCAGGCTCTAGGACTTCTTACAATGATCCATTCCTTTCAACCCATACAGCATTCCTTTAGAGGCTGAATAAAAAAATCTTCAACTACTGCTAACTATTCATAACTACTAATTCTGTTTTTATTTTTAATTTTTAAATTTTTTTTATTGGTGCCAAAAATCAAATTCAGAACCTTACATTTGCCAGGAAGGCAGCGTATAGCTGAGCTATATCCCAGCCCTACTAATTCTGTTTTTAAACAGTTTTACTGGAAATTCCTCCTGTCACTATGGCAGTCATAACATGCTTTTTGGATGAATTGTCTTTCTTATGCCCATCACATCTACAATCCCATGAAAGAGGAAAGAAAATCAGGGTAAATTTCTCTTTCTAGTTTTACAGAAAATATAGTCTGGAAGAATATAAGAATAAAGAATATAATATAGTCTGGAAAATATAGTCTGGAAGAATATAAGAGGAGAAAATTTATTTACTTTTTTTTTTTTTAAATAGAACATTTTGCCAGGTATGGTGGCGTATGCCTGTAATCGCACCACACAGGAGGCTCACCCAGGAGGGCTGCCACAAGTTTGAGGCAAGATGTTATCTCAAAGAAAAAAAAAAAAAAAGGTATTTTGGACCCACTGTACTTTGATAAACAAAGGGGACAATGTCTTACCGCAAGTATTTTCTCAAGTAGACTGGAAAAGACATTAATTTAGATTGGACAGCCCTTAATTTGAATTAGCTCTGCTACTTAATATTTTTGTAAAATTCCTATCACCTTAATTTTCTAAAGTATTAAAACGAAGTAATCTAGTCTCACTTTATTGTAAAGCTTACATGACATTACATATGCAAAAACCCTGCATGGTAAACAATTGTTTCAACTTTGAAAAATAACTTTTTTCCTAAATCCTTGGTTGGAATGTGATTCTTAATGTCTGTTCAGTCCTTATTAAAAGTTTACACCTATCCCTTGTTTCTGGAGTCTAAGCAACAAGATATAGTTTTGGAGTTGATGGAGTTTAAGATAATGTATTCAAAAGTACATTGTAAAGCACTATATTAAATATTAATATGAAAAACAACTAAAAGTAATACCAAGAGAGAATGAATCAACAAGTAGTTTTAGAAATTTTGCTGAGGAAAGCATATAACACAAGACTAAATAAGTAAATAAATTCACTAGAAACCTTACCGTAGGTCCAGACCAGCTTCTTTCCAGAGTAAATCCATCAAGCGCAGTATCTGGAGAGTCAACATATCTTGTCGTAAATCTAATGGAGAAAATCTGCTTAATTATACATGTTTTCATTTTGTTCCTTATAGTATCAGATAATTCATTTAGACTGAATTAAAACCATTAGCAAATACTGGGTAAAATTTTAATGTTGACCTATTTACTACATCCAATAGGCTTACTGATTTAACGTCCCCATAATATTTATTTCAGAAATTAAGTAAAAACTTTTAAATTATTATGTGTAAGTTACTGTACTAATTGTATGAATGCTAGAAAACTATCACATTGCATTTGTATTACATCGCATTGTCAGTTTTGCTTGTTTGCTTTAAGTTCTTAAAATTCACATAAGTGTATTACCTGTCCACAAAGCTATAATAGTTGAATTTTTAATTTTTTATTCTCAAGAGTACTTTCAGGTAAAAGAGTATATCAAAGTACTGACTAATTTCCTTTTAAAAAAAGCATTATACAACAGTGATATATATACATGTTTAAGTCGCACAGTTTATAAAAGCTAAATCTTGGAAACAGATTGCCCATCAACTGATGAATGGATAAAGATCGTTTTTTTTTTTTAATGCAATGAAATACTACTCTACCATAAAGAAAGATAAACTTGAGACATTTGTAGGAAAATGAATGCACCTTGAGACAGGTTTAAGTGAAATCAGACACACGTTTAAATACAAGCACTGTTTTTTTTGGTGTGAAAAACTGAGAGGTAGGTAAGGACCAAAATATATAATAGATATTGTGGAAAAGCAAGAAAATGTTCTAATGGGAGAGAAACTAGAATGAGGGTAGGGGGAAGGAATGAAAAAAGAAAAAAATGAGGAAAGAAGGAAAACATGGAAACAAAGCTTCTGTAAGTGAGGGGAAGAAGGGTTAAAAGGAGAGAAGGGCAATGATGAAAAAAGAAGACTCAAGATGCATCATATACAGGTACAACTTCTCTACAATGAATATTACCATTACGTGTATCTAAAATGTACCAATAAACTTAATTTTAAAAAAGTACTGACCAGTTTTTAGTTGCTACTGTACAGTCAAATGGGATTAAATATTTAGCAGAACTATGAATTCTTTACAAAGAACCACAGTAAGCGTATAAGCACATTTACATATGGTACATATAGCTCCTGCAGTCCTCACAGGCATCAAGAAGCTACAGCTCAATGAGTTTTATTTACACACAGCTATCTAATCATGACTACATTTTGTGGGTCATTATTTCAGAGGCATTTCTGCTGTAAAGTTTAGATAGTTTAATTAAAATATAAAACTACAGCAGTAAATCAATATTGCTATCACTAAAACAGGATTTATGAATTATTTAAATATTCACTTACATTTACAAGCTTTCTGTCAAAGAAATAGACTATGTATTTTATAGGAGGAAAAAAAGGAAAGGTACTAGCAACAGTGAATTATAAGTGAACTACAGAATTTATTTTCTGAGAAAGAAAAACAAAAAAAAGGGAAGGATTTATGACATGCTTAGTTTATGACAGCCACTTCTTGGTTGCCAGTGGTTACACATTTATATGCACTTTTCAGATAAAGCAAAATTACCAGCAAATGAAAACTTCTAAGAAACTTGGTGCTATAAAAACCTGAGTACTTACCATCACCATTTTTAAAAATCACTCCAACTGAATCCTCACCAAATACCTTATTGGTATATACAAGCCACAAAGGTTTCATTTTGGAATCCATGTATTTGCACTTTTCAATACTGTAACCAAATGAAGGGACTATTAGCCGATTTCAGTGTGACAACATGGTAAAAGTGTAATTTTGCCCTGATACATCAGACAAGCCCTTCACTTTTCCCTTTCAGGATCCGCAGAAGTCAGAGCTTAGAAGAAATTTGCTTTTGTGCAAAAAGAAACCCAGAGGAAGCTTTGATTGGCACAGACTGATGCCAGCTGGGCTGTATTTGAAACCTTAGAATCTGTCCTCACAGCCTCCACTTAAAACTACGTATTTCCATATATTTTCCTCTATATATTTATTTTTATTTATTTATTTATTTATTTATTTATTTATTTATTGCTCTTTTTCCTTTTTATCAGTACTGGGGATCGAACTCATGACTGCCTGCTTGCAAGGCAGGCGCTTATGCCGCTGAGCTAAATCCCCAGCCCCTCCTCTGTATATTTAGTGAATAAAAAATTAAAACTGTATCACTGGATTAATATGGGAATATTATAAGGTAATTCTTAATTTCTTAAAGAGAGAACAATTTCAATACTGAATACAAATTGTTTTCCACTATATTTGTATGAATGAGAAGGTAAGAAATAAAATTCCCTAATCTCTCAAGATCTTATTTTGAAAGAGTCAGCCAGGTGTGGTGGTACATGCCTGTAATTCCAGCACTTGGGAGGCTGAGGCAGAAGGATTACCTCAAGTTTGAGGTAAGCCTGGCTTACAAAGCAAGTCCAAGATCAACCTGGACTACACAGCAAGACCATCTCAAAAAAAAAAAGGTTAATAAAGTAATTTATTATGGTTTCCAACATTTTACTTACAAAGGATTTTCAACATTATAAACCAGTGATATAAAATATAAATTTAATTTTATACAATTAAAATTAGAAATTAACTTTTTTCTTTTTGGTACCAGGGATTGAACTCATTACCTTGCATGTGCCATGCAGGCACTTGTGCCACTGAGCTAACTCCCCAGCCAAGAAATCTTTTAAAAACGTTTACCAATCAATCCCATAACCTCTGAAGACTGTTAAAGTTTACCTTCCTTAGTTATATTCCACTTACTGGGGCTGACAGCTGGCCTTACTGCTCCCCCAAGGGACTCAAAACTCCTTTCTGCATAGCTATTTTTCACAGAAGACCAACTGTGCAAAGCACAAAGGTTCACTTACTAGAGCTCTGAAAGGATGATACATGGATTCAGAGGTGACTGCAAATCAGAGAGGGCTTCCCGATAAGCATTCTGTTTTAAACACGTATGCATGGCCTCCTTCCCTTTAGCTCTGTTTAGCTTCACTGCATTCAGTTTTATTAAACTATTTAAAGTTTTTAATTTGTTAAGTGCTTCAACCTGAAAAATAAAGTCCCCCCCCCACATTTATTTATGGTGAGAAATAATACAGTGTAATATCATGTGATCGAACTAATCAAAAAGTCTCCCAATACATGAACTGAAGTACAAATTAAGTGGCCTATGACTAACATTTTACCTACACTTAAGAATTTATTTTTAGCACTTGTTGCAGTATCACTTAAAAACTTTCTTTAAAAGATGAATATGAACTTTAGATTACTTACAATTTGGCTCACTGAGCAACAGAATTTGAAACACTTAGAACCTGAAACACTCCATTTGGCCTGCAACACCACACTCTAAGAGGAAAACCTGCACAGAAGTAACTGTGGGGCTCCTATTATTCAATCTTATCATCACTCTTGTATAATATCTCAGATTATACACTTCCATGAAAAGGATTGACAGCATAGAATACAGTATATTTATTATTCCAAGTCTAAATTATGAGCCAGGCATGGTGGTGCACACCTGTAACCCCCACACTTTGGGAGGCTAAGGCAAGAGAATCATTGTGAGTTCAAGGCCAGCCTGCACTACATAATGAATCCCTGTCTCAAAAAAAAAAAAAAGGGCTACATTACTTGTTTTGATAATGAGACAACTGGCTACCAAATTTATTCAAATAAAAACTTAAATAGTACAAGGTAAATTAACAATGGCCAACTAAAAATCATTACACATGGGTCAACTTTACTGCATAGTAACTGCCAGTTTTTCCATATCATATAAGATCTGTAAGTACACAGCATCAACCTCAGCCAAACATAAATGAGAAAGAGCATTTGAGTATGGTGCTAAAATCAGAAACAACCAATGATTAAAAACACTGGAAAAATATCTACATAAAACATGTGCCAGGTGTGGTGGTACACATCTGTAATCCCAGCATTTAGGAGGCTGAGGCAGGAAGATCACCAGGAGTTCTAGACTAGCCTGGATTACACAGTGAGTTCAATACAAGCCTGAACTACATAGCGAGCCCCTGTCTCAAAAAAAATAACAAACATCTAAGGTGTATAAAACAACATAATGAACACATTACTTGAAATTTCATGAACAGGAAATTTATATCATGTTTTTGTTTGTTTTGCTCCCATTCAAGAAAACTACTAATACTATGTAGGAGTATGAACTCGAGCATACTGTTTCTGCAGACAGACCAGCCTCACAGGAATCTAAGCAGGTTCCATGTAGTTTGGTGATAAAATCAAGATGGCTGAAGCTTGCCAAGTCATCTGTTGAAACCATAGACACTTCAAACTCTTAACAATTCAGGAGCTACATACACACACGGGCAACAAGGGAACCAGACAAAAACTCAACTATGCAAACAAACTTTGTGAAGTATTTCAAACTTGAATTTCTTGGGTGTTTGTATAGGGAATTTTCATTCCCAGCCATGTATTAATATTCATTTTCTGGAACAGTATACTGAATGGTCACAAACCAAATACTTAAGTGTTTCAAAACACTTTTTTTTTCTCATACAGGGATTATAAACAGCACTGAGCTACATCTCTACTTTTGCTTTTTAATTTTGAAACAGAGCCTTGCTAAGGTGTACAAGCTGGCCTTGAAATTGCAATGTTCTTGACTCAGCCTCCCTAGAACTGAGATTATTGGCATATGCCACCATAATGCTTTTCTATAGGTTTCTGGGGAGGAAAATAAATGCCATGCCCTCTTCTCATCAGTCAAGAAAAAGAGTAAGAATTTGTACACATACAGTGTTTCAGCAGTGGCAAACCTATGGCATGCATGCCTCAGCTGTCTGCTTATAAGCAAAGAAGAATATATATACATATGTGTGTGTATGTATATATATATATACATACACACACACAAACATATATACATACAAACACACACACACACGGCTTTCTAATAGCAAAGAGTATCTTGCCAAGCTGAAACTCTTAGCAAACCCAGATAACATGTAGTGTGACTTGATCATATGGATGAAGGATATGGTCATACAATGAAATCAAGCAAGTAGGGAGCTAGTGGGACCTTGCAGAATTTGGCAGAAATTTTGGGTTTTATTTTCAGTGTAATGAAAAATTATTCCCAGGTTTTAAAAAGGAAAATGACATAATACAATATACAACAGAGATCACTTATCATCTATATACAGAATGTGAGCGTGGGATCAGAGGCACAAATGAGAATTAAGGTTTATAAAAGTAAGAACTTTAATAGCAGTTTCATATGAAGAATAAGTAGGCTTGAAAAAAGAACATGGCGGATAGATAGCAGCTATAGAGGTTCTCTGAGATACCCCACTTAGAATCCAGGAATGGTGCGGTACAAGGAGTCCTAAGCAAGGAGAGATATACTCTGCCGACCCAGGAACCAACTAAGCTGGAACCTGAGGCACTGCCGCAATTTGAACTTCCTGCTGCCGCTGCTGCGTCCCAATCAGCACGGCAAGGAGAGAGGTGCAAAAGCTCTGAGAATGGGAATTGGCGAATGGAGCTGAGAGCGGGACTGGCAGGGAGCTCTGCATCGACCTGCAAAGAATAAGCGGAATGGGGACCCTTCCATAGAGTAAGAGGCTTCAGCAAAGGACATACTGGGATGGGGCAGACTTGCCGGAACAAGACGCTGCAGTGAATTTAGTCGTATATTCCCTTCTCAAGCAGGATTGGTGGGGAGTGCCTGGCCTGGGTGACGCTGCTGACTAAGACACCGCTGGGAGGCTAGCCCAAACCAGGTCCCAGCACCTGGCGGTGCACCCTAGTGGTGCACCCTAGTGGTGAAGCCTTCGGTAGGTTGACCTGGAGGGGCGGGCCCAGCAGAGGCTGCCCAGGTGTGTGTCTCCCTAGTACACTGCAGTGGGCAGGAACACCTAGCCAGTGCAATTCAAACAAACTGTAACAGACAAAGACAAAAAAAAAAACTAGGCCTCCTATATTTGCTTGTATGGAAGGAACAAAAAATATGGGAAGACAAAGCAACAAGAAAGGGTCCTCAATTCCCAATCCTGAGAACACTGATCCAGGAAAGGTGAATGCAAAGGACAATGAGGAAAGAAAAATGCAATATCAGACATGGCACCAATAGACATAAAGCAGTATCTCCAGAGTCTCATAGACGAGTTCAAAAGAGAAGTATTTAGCAAGATATAAATAGAATAGTTAGAGAAATGCTAAGCACCGCCCAAGAAAAAACAGATGGTGGAATGGAAGAACAGAAAAAAAGGGGAGAATTGTCTGATGGAGAACATAGAGAAAACATAGAATATGTGAAGCAGGTTCAAAGAGATTACCAGGAAACTAAAAACTCTATCGAAAGCTGGCATAACAGCTTGAAAGAAACTAAGGATAGATTATCTGAACCGGAGGGCAGATTTGTGGGAACATGAAATGAAAAACTTCTTAAAAATAACAAGAAAACAAACAGCAATAATACAAAGACTAGAAGATGATAAGAGGATCTATAATTTAAGAATTTAGAACATAAAAGAAGTAGGGACACAAAACAAGTGAACTACAAAAGCTACTCACAGAAATAATCCAAGAGAATTTCCCTAATTTAGCAAATGGTAAAGATACTCAGATGTATGAAGCATTCAGAACCCCAGCCACCTAAAACCCAAACAGAGCTATACCCAGGCATATAATAATCAAAATTCCAGAAATTCAATATAAGAACAGAATATTAAAAGCCATCAGAGACAAGAAAAGGATCACTTACAAGGGAACCCCCATCAGAATTACAGCAGACTTCTTGGCACAAACCATCAAATCACAAAGAGCGTGGGGGGAAATAAAAGATAATAACCTTCAGCCAAGATTGATATATCCTGCACAACTGTCCCTAGAAATTAATGGAAAAACAAGGTGCTTCCAGAATAAAGAGGAACTAGGGGAATTTGCAACCACCAATTCAACTCTACAGAGAATACTGCAGGATATTCTAAAAAAGGAAAATACCAAGATTCCAGAAACAGTGGCAGAGAAGCCACAATGAATGGAGCAGAAAGCGAAATGAAGAAGAAAAACTGACAACAAACAACAGAAAAAGAGCTCAACAGAAATGAAGCAGAGAAGATTGGATGGTAGGAAAAGCTATTTTGGAGAAAACAAGACATCATAATAGCTAGTGCTGATTTAGTATCATCTTGTTTTGAAGTCCCATCAAGCTTTTATTCTTCTGTCTCCATTGGTCTTAAAAGGTTGTATCTTATTGGATTTTATTATATGTGATAATATAAGTAAAAAGTTTTATAGACAAGATTATACAGAAACCATTGTTCATTTTCTGATAATTGGTTCTAAATACCCATACTGTCATTCTCTTGAATGGTTTTACATTGTCTTGATATGTTTGGTGCTATAGTATACGAAGTTTTACTCAAAGATTTCAAGGAAAGAGACAGTATGGTTAACTACTTTTATGTCAGGATATCTTGTGGTGAAACACTATTTTGCTTAAATGGTTATGCTTTGACTTGTGCTGTTTTGTTGTTATGGCCTCTTTTATCTCAATCTCCTTTTTTTAATTATTTACTTTTTTCTTATCTTTTAAGGGAAAAATAAATTTAAAAAATAGCAGGATACATTATAGTAACCCACTTTGATTTCCTATTAACTTGATTTGAAACCCTGTATTGCCCTCACCATTTTGTTTTGACTGATTTTCCCCTATTCTGCTTTGCTTGATAGTACCAAGTTTGAAAATATAAGCAACAACTGTGAAGACAATAAGATTCATTATGATGCCCATTCTGGTTGACTATTATCTTCTTTTAAAAGTCCTGTAATGTCTCCAGTGTTTTGGTTTTATTCTTTACTGTTTTGTCCAACTTTACTATAACTGATGATATAGGCAATTCTTTTTAAGATAGCAAGAGGCAGTATGATAACCATTGCTGATCACCTTGTATTCTGTTTTTACATTATCTATTATGTCCATCCTTTTGATTTGACCAACTCTGTTTTGTTATGTCACATTTGGTTTTACTCTCTTCAAAAAAAAGTAGTAAGAATTGT